AACAAAGGGTATTTTCAACAAAGTTTAGCAAAAAAAGTACAAAAAATTTACCCTTGTTGACGGAAAGAAATTGAAAATTTTCAATTATTGGGGGGTTTACACTCTGCCTCCCCCCATCCCGCTTCCGCGGCCCCTGGGTATGCATTTACATTATACATCTTTAATATTTAACCGTAGAGAAACTAGTCTATCAGTTGTAAGTAGTCACAGATCAATGCAACAAGATGTGATAACATATTTTGTTTTTGTTATTTACCATCAATTGTTTAGCGCACAACATTTATATCTGTAAGACTAAACATGATATATATGTGTTGTAAAAATAATTAAAAGCAAAGTTAATTATTGTTCAGCTACTTTTGAAGCTAGAAGACAATATTTCCAACGATTTTGTTGTAGATTGCATTTATTTTCTTGTTGAACAATGTTTTTTTTTCTTAAGAAAAAATATAACTTTAACAAAATGACAGTAAAAAGTAACTAGAATCATTATATGTTTAACTCATTTCTCGTCTGAATTCTTCTAAAGCGTCTCCAGAAAAATAATATTTGAATTAGTTATTTCATCAAAAAAACAGCTATTCATAAATAATCTTTGAAGTTGATAGAATTTAATATTTATTTGATATTTTTGTATTGACTATAATTCATCGATTAAAAAGATATAATTTAGAATTCGTTCTAGACCAACAAACCACACGAAAACGTGTTTGTTTTTTAATCATTTGATATTTACATGACAATCTAATTGCCATAATATTTAGCTAAAAAATAAAACAAAAATTTATATATACCATACAACTAGTTCTTTGCTGCCCGGCATTTGTAGACGATGCATGATATATTGACATTTGTCGAGTGTTTTGCTATATCCCTTCATGTCGAGAAAAGGGTATCATTTTTTTGATTAATATTCGATCAATCTATAGGTTATGATCTATTTTCAAATGTTCTTTTATCTTTTTCCTCATAGAACTGTTTCTTCATTTGAAGTATTCGAATTCTAGTATCATATAGTTTGTACCACGAGATGGAGACGTCGTTGAATGATTCATTGACTTTAAATTCGAGCTCACTACCGACAACATTAGAAAAGCCCGCTACTGTTGTCATTCCAGATACATCCATCAGCATATACGAAATCCGCTCGAACCGACGTCGTCTCTTCATTTTAATTATACTCGCTTTCTCTGGTCTTCTCTTACCGTTTTCTGACAGTGTCTACCTGCCATCATTAGCAAATATTGAACATGACCTGCATGCTAGTACTACACTAGTTGATTACACGGTATCTACTTACCTAATTTGTGCAGGAATATTTAGTTTATTGTGGGGCCCGTTGAGTGATCAATTTGGACGTAAAATTATACTGTTGTTATCTTTTATTATCTTTCTTGGTTTTACAATCGTATGCATTTTAGCTAGGTCTATCATTGTACTACTCATATTTCGTTCATTACAAGGTGCGGCAATATCAGCATCATTAGTTGTTGGACAGAGTGCCATCGTTGACATGTATCAACCAGATACACTTGGCTTTGCTATGGGCCTTTTTCTTGTACCATTTCTAATTGGACCTATTCTAGGTCCATTCATAGGTGGTATACTATCGAACACATTTGGGTGGCGGAGTACTTTTATTTCATTAGCCATCATGAGTGTGATCTCTGCTCTGTTGATTCTTATATTTGTTCCTGAAACTCATCATTATCGTGTTCTTCAACAATTGTCACGTGATGTAAAAAAGAAATGTAAACATGGAAATCAAACAAACACAGTTATTGTACGCGAAGCACACATTATTTTGAAGCCTCGTTTTGTGTCTCCCTGGTATCCATTTTTAGCTCTTTCCGATATGACTATTGCGCCACATGTAGCTGTCTGCAATATGAATTTTACCGCTCTATTTATTTCATTGACTCTCATGTCTAATCGAGAATCTCAAGAACCATACACACTTTCTTCATTGCATATTGGATTTTCTTACATTCCCACAGGTGTATTAGCTCTTCTCGGTAGCTTAACTGGTGGTTGGATTTCTGATTGGTCAGCAAAACATTTTTCTCAAGCGATGGAAGGTCGACTAATTCTTAATTTGATTGGTACTCTAATGTGTCCGATTGGTTTACTATTATATGGATGGACCTTTCATTTTGGTATTCATTTAGCTTTACCATTGATTGGCTCGACACTATTTAGTTTCGGGGAATCATTCATGTATTCTAGCACTTGTGCATTTGTAAATATTAAGAAACCAGCCATGGCTGGTAGCCTTCTTGCACTTATCAATGCTATCAGTTTTGTATGTGCTGGCATTGGTATTATCGTTGCTATTCCATTGGTCACATTGGTAGGATTCGGACCATTACTTAGTCTTGTGGCTGGACTCTCATTTTTACTTATATGTATCTCATTGATAATCGTAATATATCAATTACGAAGCTCTAAACTTTCGCTTGTTTGTCCCAATGAACTGTTAAAAGCAACTTCCCTAGGAATATGCACAGCACAATCAGAGGATATAATTTCAGTCCAATGGTTCTAGTTGAAATCGATAGATGGTTTTGAGAGACAGATTTTTATATTTTATAGTAGAATAAATAAACTTTACATTCAATCGTTCGAAATTAAAAGTATATATTTTGCACAATAGACAAAAATATTTTCATATCATTCATACTTTTCAACATGATGATTACGCGAAAACAATTCTATGCGACCGAATGAATAGAATTTATGTGAATCTTTTTTCATGTTCATCCAAGTCTACATCGAAGTTTCTAAATATTAATTTAGAAATAGATAATAAGAGATGTTATTAAAGTTTCTTTCAGTTGTTCTCATGATTTCGTCGATATTGAAGGCATACTGTTCAACATTCTTCATCATTAAGATAAGATTTTAAAATAAATTACTTATAAAATCTTATTTCTACAAATAGAATATATTACATACATCTACTATCATATATCAATCCATAATATTCCATCAAAAGTTTGTCTCTTACTGATACAATAGTTTGACATAGCTGAATTAGTGGTCTTTCAACACCAATTACTATGTAAAATATCACTGAGATACGCTTTCGTCAATATGAGGTTTTTTTAATGCGATGCGAAGCAGAAGCATTTATGTAGTCCGTCGCGAGTTTTTTTTATTTTTATTTGGGTGTGGG